CACTAAATTATTATGGATTTTGCAAATTTAGGCTTGTATTTTATACTGTTGCTGGTGTAAATGTGGTAGATATGGAATTTATGTTTTCAGTTTCGTAGGTAACATCCCCAAACAGTGGAGAACAGCTGTGAAAACTACAAGGACGTTTTGTAGTTCGAAATTATTCAAATGATGGGTATATGATCCTATTATTACATTTTACCCCTTTCTCTGACAAGAAAAGGTGGTTAGATTGTAGTGATAGGAATACTGGATGGCTTACTTCAAGTTATTCCATCTGCTAACCCCATGCTAACCAATTTTTTTGCTCACTAATAAAATATCTTTCAAAAAATAAAGTCAGGTCCCTCTCAAGGGTCTAGGCCATGATATTACACATCATTGCCATCATGAATTTGAGCTGCAGTGTAATGTGTAGCTTATTAGACACAACTCTAAATCCCCCTTGTCTTTCTTCCAGGATGCAAGGAATTTCACATGCCACCAGTTATATTTCCACTACCCTAGATATTCTGATCATGTCAAATCTCCATGGTCTGCATTAAACAAGCCTCTCTAATTAAGGTCGGCTCTTTGTATTCAGTCCTTATAATTCTTATGTAAAACAACAATAACAATACAGCAACAACTATAAAAACAAGAACAACAACAAAACATCGAAAACTTTCCTGGGTCTGATTTTTTAGCTCTTTGGAATAGGTAAAGAATATATTGACTTGGTTTTCAGCAGACTGCCCCAAATACTAGGCTACTAGAACACAGCACACTTAGGAAGGTGTGATGGCACCTAACAAAATACTCAAAAATAATACTGATATATGAGAACAAATGAAATAATGAAAAAGGGTCAGTAATGATGGAATGGTTTCTGACAACTGAAATTATGTCCTTTCTAAAATTTAAGAAAAATTATACCTAAACATTAACACAAAATATAAATGGAAGAATCAAATGTGCCATATGGACTTTATAAATACACTGGTATAGATTGAATCTAATACTTACTTCTCCAAATCAAGGTACAATATAAACACTAATAATAGTACAGGCATGCCAGGAAGACAAACAAGAATGGAAAGTGGTAAGAAAATACCTTTTAAAAGACCATTTCAATCTAGTAGTCAAATGTAGTCACTTATATCCAAAAAAAGCGTGTGTTTAATTTTAACATTTAATAAAGACGCACCACATTTATATGTTTTAGGTGAACTCCTTAGGAGGTTAAAACCTCCCTCTAGTCCAGTAAGTCAAGGGCTTTACCAAGGTGAATCTCATGGTTTAGAGTTAGACCATTACTCTAGCCAAGTTTGCTGAGAGAGACAACATTCATGTTCAGAGTCGTGCTATGGACCCTTCCTCCTCCCAAATCGGCAAGTTAAAAAAAAAAAAGTGCTGCATATATGCACAGATGCAACCTCTTTCAAATAAAAACCGTTAACAGTTTGAAATTAAGCTATTCTTCCTTCCTCTCCACAAAAAAATGATAAAAGACTGAAGTTCAGAATGGCCTTTATTTTTACGTAACTGTGGTTCTGCCCATCTTGCCTCAGATCCCAGTAAAACTAATATTGGAAAAATCTATTATATCTTAACTATTTTGAGGAGCTACTGATTGGAAATGCTTTCTTTTCAAATCTAGTAGCCTTACACTCATTAAGTGTAATCCAGAGGAACAAAAATAATTTCTTTTGATTTTTGCAAAAATACCCAGGGTTAACATTCTTTCCACCTTTCAAGTTATTTTTTGGCAAGGATATTCTATCAAGACAAAATTAGCATGTGGGTGAACAGAAAGGATTAACTACTATCTGATGCACTGATTTAGTCCTCTTATATTTTCAAGTATTCCTTTCATATGTTGAAAAAAATAATTTAAC